ATGTGGACAATTTGGTGATGGACAGAGGGGAGGGAGTTTAGGAGGCTGGGTAAATGAGGTGCAGGGTTAAAGAAGTACAAATTAGTAGCTGACAGATGGTCAGATGGTCATGGGGATGTGGAGCACGGCATAAGATAGCATTTAACATGAATACATTGCCTAGGTGGAGGATCAGGGGAGGGAGGGAGCAATTGGGGGGATCGTTTTATGAGCTATATAGATGTCTAACCAATGCACTGTATACTTGAAACTAATTAAAATAAATAAATTTTTTAAAAAGTAGAGATGAAGTTCCAAGTAAAATGAGCATGTACCAGATATTCATTTTTGTTCTCCCTTTTATATGAACTTTGCACAGACATTTAAAAACAATTACAGTCATGAACCCTGTAACAACATTTTGGTCAACGGCACATACAATGATGATCTCATAAAATTATAACAGAGCTGAAAAGTTTCTAGTGTCTAGTGATGCTTCTGTCTAATCATAGCTCAACGCGTTACTTGCCTGTTGTGGTGATGGCATAAACAAACCTACTGCTCTGCCAGTAGTATAAAAGTAATTATATGTAGCACATGCAATTATGTACAGTACCTAATACTTGATAATGATAAAAAACAGCTATATTACTGTCTACGTATTGACTATACTATACTTTTTACCATATTTTAGAGTGTACTCTTTCTATAATAAAAAAAGTTTGCTGTAAAACAGTATTTCGTGTTACCCCAGCAGTGGCTTCATGCATCTTGTATTCGCAGTGTCTCTTAATTGCATCATTGTCTCTTGTGATTGATTTAACCTCATGTTGTTTTGTTCAGTAACATGCTGTGCAATAGGTTATACCATATAGCCCAGGTGTGTAGTAATCTATACCATTTAGATTTGTGTAAGTGCCCTTTATGACGTTTGCACAATGACAAAATTGCCTAGCAACGCATTTCTCAGAATATATCCCTGTCATTAAGTGGCTCATGACTACTCAGAAAGCCTCTGTCTGGTGAAGGTCAAGGATTCACATAGGTAAGGCCCTAAAATCCATGAATCTATAAGAGGCCCTCAGAATTCAACTTTTACAATACAACACAAATAATACGTGTTCATTATAAATAAGTTAGAAATGCATATAAACAAAAGGAAGCAAATTATAAAATCTTATCTTCCAAAAATCATCAACCACCGTTATCAGGCTTTTTTGCTTATGAATACATACAAATATAACATACATCTATTATTATAAAAAATAAACTCAATCTAATACTATTTTATAAACATTTTTCTACTGAATAATATATCATTAAATTCCTCCTTCATTATCAAGTATTGTTTTTACCATTTTAATGGCTATATTATATAGCTATAATATATGTTACTTCCTGTTGTCAAATATAAAATTGTTTTCAAATTTTCTGTATTATAAATATCACATTTGGATCACTATTTCAAACCTAATACTTTCTTACAATAAGGGATGATGATACTGACCAACTCATGACTATTTAAGAACAGAATGAAAAAGGAGCATGTTGGTCTAGGTTTTTTATCAAAGCTTAATGAGGATAGTTCCCATCCTTCATTGAATTGTTTTGAGAATCAAATAAGGGAACAGATGTGAAAGTTTTATAAAAGGTATAGCCCTCTACTGAGATAAGATTAGCCATGTGTCTTTATTTACCAAGGAGAAAAGCTCCACCTGGAATCATGTTATCTAAATCCCCAGGCTTGGAAGGATAAGGCAAGTCCTAGACAAGCCTAGGAGTTAAGCAAGAAGCTGTTCAGGATTATTACCCCCTTATCAGCCTCTTGGGGTTTCTAGAACCTTGACCTTCATTTCCATCCCTACCTCCTTTACCTTCACCCTCCAATCCTTACTTCTTCCTACCTCCCACCTCAAATCTAGTGCTCAAGCAGGAATTAGAACATTCACTGGAAGTTATAAATGGCTATGTCAAGTATTACCTCTTTCAGGGAAGTTGCATCTAACAGCCAGATAACACCTAAAGTTTAAGCTAAAAGACTAAAACCTTGCTGGCAGAATTTGCGTTGGCGCACCAGAATTTAAGTAATAGTGAAAATGCCTCATAAGCATTTACTTTTGCTACACGTAGGAATGGCCATGCCTAGTGATTTTCTTAGTTGGAGTCATTCGAAGATGGTATATATTTCATAAGTTATATAAATGTCTAGTCACTATATTGTACACCTGAAACTAATATAATATTGTACGTCAACTGTAATTAAAAATTATTTTAAAATAAAAAATAAGAATAAAATAAAATAAAATAGAACTTTAAGTTGTAATCAAAAAATTTCTGAAATCTGAGGAAATACTCTTCTCATTTTAAACATAAAGAATAAGTTCATTGCTACACTATTAAACAAGAATTTTCTAAATAAGAAAAAATCAAAATCACAGAGTTGAAGAAATGGACCATAAAAATTTGAAGTTTTATTATATTATAAAAACTATATAACATTAAATGGTATAATAATATTAAGTGAAAAAAGCAGAACAAAAAATTTTAAACACTATAGTTATAAGTATGTAAAAATGTGCACAGTTTGAATGGTAGAATCTGGGCTGAATTTTTTACCTACCATGTTTTATTCATATGTATATATATTTCAATTTATTTTTAAAAAATATTTATTAACTGCCTATAATATGCCAGAGACTGTGCCAAGCCTCAGATTTGCAAGGTGAAAAATAGCTCCTGTCCTCAAGGCATACACTATTGTTTTTTACAACGTTAATGAAAAACAGGTACATAAGAGTTCTTAAGGTTATGATAGCTTTGGTTAAAATACATGGCAAAAATAGCCTAAGAGACAGTCATGCTAAAGCTCACTGATCTTTCATGAAACTCACTTAGGAGAATAAATGTGTTAAAATTTATACATACATACATATATATAATTTTACATATACTTAAATGTGTGCGTGTGTGTGTGCGTGTGTGTGTGTGTGTGTGTGTGTGTGTGTGTGTATGTGTGTAGAGAGAGAGAGAGAATTATGCATTGCCTAACAATGGGGTTATGTTCTGAGAAATGGGTCTTTAGGCAAGTTTGTTGTGCGAACAACTCTTAGATTTATCCATTCTTATCTATCCTTACTGAGAGATGGGTTCAGAAATTCTTCATTCCTTCCCTGAATGTCTTCCATAGCCTCCTGGCTGATATTCCTACTTTCTTTTTGCCTCACTAATCGTCTATACTGCAACCAAAGGGATAACAATCTTCTTCCACAGTAGAACTTTTAGTGGTTCCACGTTACCTTCAGTATACACACCAAGTTGGTTAACATGGAAGAGACTCAAGTGCTTTCTAGTCTGGATCCTGCCCGCTTGTTCAACCTTATTATTTCCCCATTTCCTATCTAAATTCCAGCTAAGGGTTTTCTCCCTTCCCCATGCTTTTGCACATAGTGATCCATCTGCCTAGAGCACCCTTCCCTTGCTATCAGAAGCCACATGAAACCACGTGGTGCCTTTCTGCATATTACAAAGAGACACCTTATCTGGGAAAATGCTGCGAGTGTTGTCTTGGCAGGTAGATAAATAGCACTTCATGAGAAGAAATGACTATCTCGTGGTAATCAGAATGAAAACTTGATTTTGGTCCCACTTTTCCTCCCTCCCTGCCACCTATATATGGTGTACAGCTTGCACTACCTTCACGGCAGCCCGACTGTGTAGTGCCACCTGCTCCTTAATGCTAATGCCTTTATGTCTAGGTTGAGTAAATGCCCCTCCAATGTGCTCCCATGGTTCTTTGAACATACCATTAATCATAATGTTTATTCCATTATCATAATTAGCTTTTGGTTTATTTGAATCTCCACTAAATTGTATGCTCTTTAAGGAAAAGTTTCCCAAACAACAGTTCCCAAATTGATGCTGGTCAATGACATCATTTTCTCCAGAAATAAATTTATTTCCAGAAATAAAATAAGGACCATGTTTAGAGTTTCCCGTTACAATGAAATTTCTTGTATAGAAAAGCTGTCTTTAGTTTTGGATCAGTTTCTTTTGACATTTTAGTATTAAAACATTATTTATTTTACAAAAATGGATGATAAAAGATAGTGGCTTCTTTTATTGTTTAAGCTCCTTACTTGCCGAAATTAAATATTGGTAAAGCAATGCCAATCACTGAAGTTTTTGTTTGGTCGTTTTGTTTTTACTCATATGTAAAACCTGAACATATGGGAAACCACTGCTTTAAAATAAAGACTAACTCTCTAATCTTTATGTCCTTAGAATGGAATAAATAATCCAGCAGAGTAGGTGCTCCATAAATGTTGGTTGAATTAATTCCTTTATCAGTCAAAACTGAGCAAATATTTCAGACAAAATTACTAAGGTTTTTTTCATTGTTCACTTTGCTCATTTTTTTAAGTAACTGTATATAGCCACACAAAGCAATGAACAAACACAAAACCCTTAAAGATCATACAAGCCTACCCTTGGAAATACTATAGCCATGTTCTGTCAGGAACACACATTAGTTATGGATACTCCAAAGTGTGTACTAACCCAAGCTGTCTTCTAAAACATATGGAATAGTATGAGGCCATCTATAGTTTTCGCCAATGATGGAATTTCTATCTTGTACCTGTCAAAAATAAATGTGAAAGGCGTAATTAAATAAATCAGGAAAAAACTTATGAAACAATAGTTAATCTAGAAAAAAAATGAAGTTTAAAGTTCTCCCAGCCTGCCTAAATAAATTGCCTGTATGTGCGTGGCACATGTGCAAATGTGTGTGTACCTTTACTTTTATTGTATTAGAACAAAGTTTCTAGGAGGAAATCACTGATTTACACCATTAATTTTGTTGATAGAGTTGGGGAAGGAATCATGCAAAACAATTCAAAATATGATTGTTGGAAAACTGAACTATAAATATTCATAGATTTGTAGACTAGTTTCCCATACAAAAGATGAAAAATATACAAGGAAGTGATAGTGATACCTCAATAATCTTAATCTCACAATATCAGAAAGAGTCACACATGAGATAGGCCAGAGTTTTCAAAAAAATTTAAAGAATTTGTAGTTTTTATAGTGAAGAACTATCAACATTTTATTAATGTATTCATCTAGTCAACAATAAGAACATGGTTCTAGAGAATAGGAATCCACTGATAACAAAACTACCAAGGTTTTTACCTTCACGGAGCTAATGTTTAGTGGAGGAGACAAACAGTATGTAACAAAACAAATAAGCTTAAACAGACTACATTTAATTGTAGTGGAGGAAAAAAAAATGGCAGATGAAGACAAGAGTAAAGGGATGAGGAAGTACATTAGACAAAGTGGCCAGGATGGAACTCTTTGAAAGGGTAACATTTAAGGTTAAATGGGAATGATAAGAAAGAGCCAGGATTGAAAAGGACCCTGCAAAGATCATTTCAGGTGGAGGAAACAGAGGTTGCTCTGGTCTTGAGGTGGGAATATGCTTGGCATGGTCTGAATATGGTTTAAGGCCAGCAACCTAACGAGTTAGGAGAGAAAAGAAATGATTTAAGAGAAAAGGAGAGGGGAGGGGAGAAGAGAAGAGGAGAAGTAATGGGAAGGAAAATAGACAGGAGTTAAATTATGCAAGGTCTTCAAGGCTATGAGTAAATTTGGATGCTATTCTAAATGCAATAGGACGCATTTTAAGAGCTTCAAACCAGGAAGTGAAATGGTGTCATTGCCTGGTCACTTTGCTCTGGGGTACAGGGTCAGGGATAGGGTTTTTTCTTAGAGAAGGGCTTATATTTGAAATAGAAAGACAAATTAGGAGAAAATTGGATTATTTGAAGTATATGTTGCAGATAGAAATGACAAAACTTGCTGATGGATTAGGTGGCAGGATGAGGGAACGGGAAAAAGAAAAGGTGATTCCTGGATTTGTTTACTTATTCAGTGGCATAGAGTGAGGGAGTAGTGATGATTTTACTAAAAGAGAAGACAGGGGAAGGATAATTTGTATGGAAAAATCAGAGTTCATTTTAGGACACCTTAGGTTTGAGGTGTCTTATAGACATTCAAATGGAAGTGACGAACTGGCATCTGGCTAGACCCGTCTGGATCTCAGGGGAAAGAATGAACTAGAGTTATACATTTTGAGTCATCAGCATAGAGATGACATTGAAAGCCCTGGCGCAAGGTGAGATCCAGAAGGAGAGAGTTCCGATAAAAGAGCAGGCCCAGGACTAAACCTCAGACACTGAAGCTCTGTTTCTTTAGTTGAAGTTTACAGTGGGGGTGTGAGGGATGTCAGGAGTGCTCATGATAGCAAAAGTTTAAGTTCCCTTAAACTACATGTAAGGTACCTATATTCATCTGTGTGCCGTGATGGCTGGTTAAGAATCAGTACTCTTTGTGAATAGGTTTGGGAAGACCTTTATTTGGCAACACTATTTTTAGCTGTCAGGATAGAAATCACAAAATCTATCTCTTATGGGAAAAATCCTGTTCATTGAAGATGTTTACAAATTCAGTTTAACTTTGCTTCAACTAAATTGAATCAGTGAGGTTCTGTTTAAAAAATGAAAACATCCTATTGCTCCAATAATTAAAATCGAAAAGATCAATAAGACCAAAGCATCTATAGTGAGTGACGGTGGCTTTAACCACACAGAAATCTGAGTAATGGATGATGACAGTATTATATGAGTCCCTTACAATACAATGTAGTCATTGAATAACTGTGTCACCATGATTCTGTGCCTTTAGAGTTAGTTGGGCATAACTTAGCTCATGCCATCCAATCATTCTTAGATACTTTGTATTTTAGCTTGCAGTGATTAATAGAAGATTCTTCCTTGCATTTTTTCAACTCACCTCATCAAGTTTGATGTCTCCCTCAACAAGATCTAGGCCCAAATCTAAGAGGAAAGAATACAATTCATATTAGCAAATTGGATTCGAACTCCCTTAATAAAAAATGTAAAAAAAAATCTACAAACCTTTATTGATATCAAATATATCCTGGTCAATTCCACCATCTACATCTTTAAAGAAAATAACAAAGAAAAACACATTGAACATTATGTTTATGAAAGAAGTAAATATTTATCAATTACCAGATTAGAAGTAAGCACGGTTCTTTTGCCTCAGATAAGTGACTACTAGGTTTTGATTCAATACATAGATAGATAATGATAGATAAATAGATAGATGATAGATAAATAGATGATAGATAGATGGATAGATAGATAGATAGATAGATAGATAGATAGATAGATGATAGATTGGTTGGTTAATTGATTGATTGATTGATTGATTGAGAATCTCTCATAAACCAGGCTTGAGGCTATGGGGCTTTTACTTATATGATCTTGTCTTATTCATGTCTCTTGAATGCCAAATGACTTCAGGAACAAGAAATTGATCACTCCATATAATATTAAATTTAATTTGGAAGAGTAGGCTAGATGACTACATTAAATAGAAAGCAGGTGTTTAAATTTGGTCAAACAACCCAATCTACCCATATGTGTATATCCTTTGCTAGTAGCATATCTTGGAACTCTCAAGCAAAATTCCCAATTTAAATTTGAATTTCTCTTCTAAGTTGCAAAGGGGTAGAAAATATGGCCAAATCTCTAAGTGTGCAGCTGAATAGGATGAACATCAGGTTCATCTGATTTGACACAAAATAGCAAAAATAATAACAGCAAGCATTTATGGGATGTCTATGTGTCAGTCATTGTGTTTGGATTTTCCTATACCACCACCTATTTTTCTGCTGGGTATGTGGAACCTTGAAATAGGAATAAAACATTCCTCAATAAATGAAAACAAGTCACTATTTGATCAAAGTTCAGTGCAATTATGCATGTACTTAGCATTAAATGTGACCTAAGTTCTGTTCTGTTGTTTAATTATCCACATAACTGTCTTTTACTATAACTTAGAGCAAATCTCAAAATAAACTCACCAAAATTTTCTGGAATTGGCTGGGAAACAAACACATAAAAGAAGTTATTATGACGCCCATAATATAAATGGTTTTCTTAGTTCCAAACTATATGTAGCCATTTGTGGAGGGGTGTTTTCATTCATATTATAGTTACTTTATGACATATATCCAAGATGGTTAAATTGGAGTCTAAGATAATCTTTTTGACCAGAAGTTCTTCTCATTTCATATAAAAAATGAAACTGCTTATTACATAAATTTGAAGGTGAAAGAAACAAAAACCCAACTTCACAGATTCAAAAGGCAGAACAAAAAGACTGCAGCCCTCAATAAGTGTTCCCTTTTAACGCAATTTTCTAAAGGATTCACAGAGCAATGTTTGAAAATAATGATATATTCCTAGTGTTGAAATATTATTGTCATTAATCATTTAAAAAATTTTATTGAAGACTTCAATAATCATGGTTAACTTTCGTAGTTCTCCCAGGGTTCTGCCTTCAAAGACAATACCAAATGTTTAAGAAAAAAAAACCAGTGAATATACTTTGTGATAAAAAAAAAAGAACTTCCAAAAATAGATTTCCTACGAGTGATCAAATGAAACCCAGACTACATGCCCATTGGAAAAAAGTTAAGTAAACCTGAAAAGTTCTTAGTGTAGTCTGATAAAAACAAAAGCTTACGGGACTGATAAGGCAGTAGACCTGGGTTATATTTCTGATTCCACCAACTAATAGCAAATCAGTTCACTTTCTTGCTACCCAGACTATCTGTAAGATATGGTCAACACCGGCTTTGCATGGGTGATGTGAGGATTATATAATGTCGTGTGAAAGCACTTTTTAAACTGTAGTAAAATGTGACACAAATGTAAGGTACAATTTTATGTAAATAGAGTTTTCATTTCTAAATACTAAAATCATTTGGAACATTTAGCAAAGCAATGGAATGAGTTGGTTTGATGATTACCATATTTTTTTATAGTAACAAGGGCCATGGTGGTCTCACACTCTAGTCACACATAGGCACATACTCACAGAGGAATGCCAAAGTACCTACTGAAAAAAGTTATCAAGTGTTTTTATATAATTACAATTTTAATGTTATTAAGTGGTATCTCTTGTTCTCAATGCTCTAGTTCCTGTTCCCAGAATATCAGCTTAATATAAGAACTATTATTTTAAAATCACAACTAAAGGTTTTCCTCCGGGTATTTGAAACTTCATTTGTAACCTTGGGTTGGTTTGTGGTACGAACCACCTGCCACTCTAGAAAGATTGGTCTAAATTGATGAAGAAGCAGAAGAGAAATCCCATGCTACAAAATTTTATAAGTATTTGCTATGCCTGTGACAATCATCAGTCACTCCATTCGCGTCTCACGTTATTGTAACAGCAATATGAATCCATTCAGCAGTAAAAATGGAATTATTTTCAAAATTCATATTTCTCATTTTATAAAAAGAAAACTTGTTACACAACGATGAAACTGAAAGAAAAAGATAATTTTATGTCAACATCTCTGACTTTTTCTCTTGCAGGGCTTTGTCTTACGCCCTATACCCAACCTGCCCCTGTTCACCAAAAAGAAATGCTTTTTTTCATTAACACTTCACAATGCATAAAAAACAAAAAGTGAACAAATTTGTTCTGTAACAATCAGTATCAACTGCCCCCAATTTTTCTAATCGTTTTCTTCATATTGTTTCCTTACCAAGCCAGAAATCATGAGAAGAAAGGCGCAGAACAGAAACCAAGGCAGACACCATGAATCCATGCTGTCACTTCCTG